CCCGCCTGCTGGCGGTGGGCAGCGCGCAGGCCCGAGGGGGCGCCGGCCCCCACCTGGGGAGCGCCCCCAGACAGCGTCCCAACGCCCTGTCCCCAGATTTCCCACATCATCCGGGAGATCCGCCAGTTCCAGCAAACCGCCTACAAGATCGAGCACCAGGCGAAGGTGGGTGGCGGGGCGCGGTGCCCGCGCGAGCCTCCACCCCCGGCGAGCTCGCCCCTCGGGCCGGCCCCTCCCGGCTCAGCCTGGCAGGCCGGTTCCACCCCACAGGGGCCCTCTCCCCGGGTGCCGACACCCCAGCTGCGGGGCAGAGAGCCGCGGTGGGGCCGTGGCCAGGTCGCCCCCGCAGTGGGCTCTCACGGGGCTGGGTGCTGCTGCCCCCCGCCGTCCCCCAGGTGGGTCTTTCTGACCCCAAATCCTGCGCCTCGCCGGGGTGACTGAGCTGCCTCACTCGGCCCAGACGTCTGTCCACCATCCACTGGCCAGCAGCCCCAGGAGCAGTCGGCCAGGCCCAGGCACTCTCTGCTGGGCGCTGTGCTCGTCGGGTCGCCCGTGGCCGAGGGCGCAGCCACTGCCCTTCCCGCAGGCCCCAGCGCGCAGAGCCAGTTCCCACCCCCCATGGCAGCTCCGCAGTCCCCAGATAGCCCTGTGGGGGTGCTCAGGGACCAGCCCGGTGGGGGGGTCAGGCCCCAGGAGGCGCTAAGCAGGCGCTCTCTTGGGGCCCCACCAGGGCCAGGTGTGGCGGGAGTGGCTGCCCAGGTTTCCGTGGCAGTCAGTGGCACCCGGCGCCCAGCCGCTGGAAGCTGGCCAGGCCCTCTTGGCCCTTAACTCCAGCAGGAAGGACGAGGGGGAGGGGCGCAGGTGAGGGGGCGCCGGCGACTCCTGCTGCCCCGTGCACTGTCCCAGCGGGACGCTCGGCTCCGTCCGCACAGGCCGCTTAGCTGCCCACCTGCACCTGGCTGCGGCGCCAGGGCGGTGCTGCCCGCCTGAGGCCCCCATGGCCGGCGCCAGAGCCCGGGAGCGCCGCCCGGGCCGCCGCCTGACCCCTGGCCCCGCAGGTGACCCAGTACCTGCTGGACCAGTCGGCAGTCCTGGACGAGGAGCGCCTGTACGAGTCCTCCCTGCGGGTGGAGCCCAAGCT